AATGGTTAGAGGGTCTGCCTGGGCATCAAAGGGTTGCAGGTTGGATTTCCGATCAAGGGCATGTACCAGGGTTTCAGGTTATTCCCAATGTGTTAGTCCCAGGTTAGACAACCACTCAATGTGTCTCTCCCACATCAATGATTCTCTTTTTCTCCCCCTTCCCTCCCTTCCATTCTCTTTAAAAAATCAATGGAAAAAATATCCTCGGGTGAGGATTAACAACAACAACAAAAAGATTGGAAAATTTAGGAAAATGTGGAAATCAAGCAACACCTCTCAAGAAACCACGGAACAAAGAAGAAATCACAACAGAAATATAAAATAATTTGGGATAAATAAAAATGAAAATATTACATACCAAAATGTATGGAATGTGATTGAAGCAGTGCTTATAGGAAAATTTATACCTATAAATGTTATATTAAAAATGAATAAAGCCAAAACCGGTTTGGCTCAGTGGATAGAGCGTCAGCCTGCGGACTGAAGGGTCCCGGGTTCGATTCCGGTCAAGGGCATGTACCTTGGTTGCGGGCATATCCCCAGTGGGAGATGTGCAGGAGGCAGCTGATCGATGTTTCTAACTCTCTATCTCTCTCCCTTCCTCTCTATGCCACTGTTTGTGTTTTCGATCCCCAATCAGGGCACACACAGGAAGCAACGGAGCCCTGGCTGGTGCGGCTCAGTTGGTTGAGCGTCATCTTGCGCATTGAAAGGTCACCGATTCCTTTCCAGGTTGAGGCACATACATGCCCAGGTTTCAGGCTCAATTCCCAGCTGGGGTATGTAGTGTCTCTCTCACATAGGTATTTCTCTCTCTCTCTCTCTCTCTCTCTCTCTCTCTCTGCCTCCCCCTCCCTTCCATTCACTCTAAAAATCAATAGAAAAATATCTTCAGATGAGGATTAACCAAACAAACAAAAAACATAGTAATAAAGATCTCATATCAAAAATCTAATCATCTACCTTTAAGATGCTAGAAAAAGGGAAGCAAATTAAACCTAAAGCAAGCAGAGGAAATGAAATAATCTATCAGAGTAAAAAATTATAAAATAGCCCTAGCCGGTTTGGCGTCGGACTGCAGACTGAAGGGTTCCGGGTTTGATTCCCGCAAAGGGCACATGCCTGGGTTGCAGGCTCAAACCCCAGTGGGGGGTGTGCAGGAGGCAGCTGATCAATGATTCTCTCTCATCACTGATGTTTCTCTCTCTCTCTCCCTCTCCCTTCCCCTCTGACATCAATAAAGAAATATATATTTTTTTAAAAATTACAAAATAGAGAAAAATTGATGAAACCAAAAGCTGTTCTTTGAAAAGGCCAACAAAACTGACAAACTTGTCCTGGTAGTTGTGACTCAGTGGTTAGAGCATTGGCCCACACAACAAAAGGGTGGGGGTTTGATTCCCAGTCAGAGCATATACCTAGGTTTCAGGTTCGATCCCCAGTTGGAGCATGTATGGAGGCAACCGATCGATACTTCTCTCTCTCTAAAAATCAAGAAAAACATATCCTCAGATAAGGATTTAAAAAACGGAATAAGCCGAATCCGGTTTGGCTCAGTGGTTAGAGCGTCGGCCTGCGGACTGAAGGGTCCCAGGTTCGATTCCGGTCAAGGGCATGTACCTGGGTTGCGGGCACATCCCCAGTAGGAGATGTGCAGGAGGCAGCTGATCGATGTATCTCTCTCATCGATGTTTCTAACTCCCTCTCTCTCTCCTTTCCTTTCTGTAAAAAATCAATAAAATATATTAAAAAAAAAAAACGGAATAATGGGGCATCACTACCAGCCTTCCTATATAATAAAAGCCTAATATACAAATTGTCCGAACTGCGGAATGACCAGTGGAACAACTGGTCGCTATGATGCACACTGACCACTAGGGGGCAGACGCTTAATACAGAAGCTGCTCCCAGCCCGCAGGCCCCATCACCCTGCCGGTCGCCCCACAGATTAGTCCTGATAGCTGGCCAGGCCTAGGGACCCTTCCTATGCATGAATTTCGTGCACCGGGCTTCTAGTATAATAATAATAAAAAAAAAAAGGCAAAGGGAATGATATGAACAACTGTAAGCCATTAACTGCATAACTTAAATGAAATGGAAAAATTCTAGATAAACACAAACTTCAAACTGACTGAAAATGAAATCTGAATAGACTGATAACAAAAGATTGAATTAGAATTTTAAAACTTCACACAAAGAAAAAAATCCAGGCAAGATGGCTTTAATAGTGAATTCTATCATACAATTTGAGCCTTGGCTAGTGTGGCTTAGTCCCATGACCCTCAATGCCAATTCTTACAAACTCTTTCCAAAAAAACAAAAGAGAAGGAAACATTTCCCAGCTCAATTCGGTGAAGCAAGATACCTGATACCAAAAACAGGTGAAGACATTACAAGAAAACTACAGACCTATATCTTAGATGAATATAGACACACAACTCCACAACAAAATATTAGTGAACCAAATACAGCAATATGTAATATAAAGGATTATACACCATGACAAAATGAAATTTATCCCACAAATAAAATTAATTGCTTATCTGCAAATCAACCTTTCTTCGAATGCATTGTGTGCAAGGACCATAATTTATTCATCTTTAAATCCTCAGTCACCTGCCAATAACTAATGTATGTCATTCTCATTATAAATAGCACATCCACACCCACCCCACTTTTTATTTCTTTAAACTGCGTTCATTTATTTTTTGTGTCTGGCATTATGTGTCTTTTTCAAATGCTTAGTGACAACTTAACACTTTGATATATCTTCAAAATACTTGTTCAATTAATGATAGCAACTACATAAATTTTAAAATTCTATGTCAATTCCTAAGATGCAAGACATTACCCACCTGAGTTCTTCAGGTTTTGCTGTACCTGCTGACAGAATTAAAAAAAAAAAAAAGTCCCATTAGTTTGTTCTTAATGGTAAACTGCATCACTGTTCATAAAAGCAAGTCTGGACTAAATGTTTTGTAAGCCATGTTTCCCAACCATAGATTTAAAAACCTTCATTTCACATCATTAAAGTCAATATGAAAATTACTTCCATTTTTTAAATAAAAAAAATAAGCGTATATCTCTTCTTTTAAAACAAAACCATCAGCAAGTCTTCTAGAGTGAGCTGAGTGACAATGGAGCATTGTCAGTTCAAAATAACAGGTAACTTTGTTTAAAACTGGGGATCAAGCCCACAACCTAGGCATGTGCCCTGACCAGGAATTAAATCAGAACCTCTCAGTGCATGGGATAATGCTCAACTAACTAAGCCACACTAGCCAAGGCTCACTCTGTATCTTAATACAAACTTAGATTTGAAACCAAACACAAGTTTTAGTTTCTTTGTCAAAGTAAATCATGCTTGTTATTATATAATTAAAGTAATTTACTGGAAGTAACATTTATGAATTTGCAAATGTCTATGATAAATATACAGTGATTAAATTTATTATCTAATAACTGTTATTTCACAGAGTCCTTAATAATATTATAATACCATATAACATAATCTTTACTTAAAATTGATTCATCACTTATCAATGTTTTTAAAAGTTCCTATGAGGATTTTAAACATTATTATGAGTGAGATCTAAAAGACAAAAAGAGAAGAAAAATGTTTTTCTACAGAATAACTAAAATAGTTAATACGAACAAAAAAATGAACACAAACTTGGTATGGTGTTTAAATTGGGATTATCATAAAATATAATCTCAGCAACCATGTAGGCTTTTTCCCTTTGCATTTTATTTTATTAAATTGATTATGCCTGAATCAAATTCAATAAATGAAGAGTACTTTAGTTGACTTGAACAAACTTAAGAGTCAGACAACATCCTCTCAAGTAAACAATACCAGTACCAGCAACATGATAAAGTGACAAGAAAGAACAGTCCTTTGAAACAGGGCTGCATTCACCTTGCATCTGTAGAGTTCGTCGAGAATATCGTTTGCTGGGCCTTCTTTCAAAGGATGTTGATCTTCTTGCTTTATTGGTTTTGGTGGTCTGATACTCAGTTTTCCCACTAAAATAAGTAAGATAATAACAGGAACAAGAGACTTCAAGACCTACAGTAATCAGACACATAAGTGGGAGAAAGTCTACACTGGGATTCTTCTTTAAACACCCTGAATCTCATCCTGAGGGAAGTGCTGCTAGTAATAGTCTTGATGTCTCCCTTCATGACATCATTCTTTCACTCTTAGGTTTGTGTAAAATATGCAACACAAAAATTAAACATAATTTTTTCTTAAGCATGCGCATCACCTAAGAACATACTAAAAAGTTAGATATCTGTGCTTTTATGGAACTCCCTTCTCCTCCCAATTCATACTCTTCAATGCAAACTGTGCAATTAACTCAAGATTTTTTCTAATTGCAATATAGTTTTCAGAATAATTTTCCAGAAATATTTAAACTATTGTCCCACTGTCCTTGACTTCCTTTTAAATGGTTAAGAAAATGCCTCCCACTTTTAATATAGATAGAAAAGAATGAATCTCAAAAATTATCTTGCCACATTATTTACATTTCCTCTTTAAAACCATACTGATTGATTCTCATGGTATGTTGAAAACTCACAATTAATAATATACTCTCAGGTAAACCAAACTATTCCTACTTACAACCAACAAACAAGGAGTCTAGAATAATAATGGCATTTCAGGTTTATAAAGGGTGAGAAATGTTATCCAAATTAATTTCCCACTCAGCACAGGATACCTTTTCTCTATATGATATTCAGTTGTTGGATGAAGACACCTTAAAACTCTTATATGGATTTAAACTGGAGGCTAATCAAGATATAAAGTAAAGGTCAACAGGGATATAAAATCCATGTCAGCATTATAATGTTTCCTATCAATTTTGGAAATTTAACAACATAATTTCCTGTCTTCTATTTTGGCCAATCGAAAACACTGGCAAGCCACTTGATTTCTCTGTGCCCTAGTTACCACATCTATAAAATGAGGGGTTGGCCTGTTTTGGCCTCTATGAAAGAATGAAAGATATAGCAGAAAGCTATTAACATCAACCTATATCTAAATCGTGATCCTAGTCGGATAAATCCTGATCGCTGAGAACCCTTTTGCACAGGGCCTCGGAGGCGGAAGAAGGCATGGTGCTCCACAGCACATTTCCATAAATGCTTGCACGCCTTTGGATGGTCCAGTCTAAAGACAAAGGTGTGTTCCTGCTCTTTGCCCTGAAAAACAAAAGGATGCAAAGAGAGGTAATTATTAGGTCAGACATTCCTATCCCGTTACTCAGCTACAAATGCAACCCCAGCAATACCAAGAATCAATAAAACATCTCGCTTGCTCTCTGAAAGTCAAGAAGCTCTTCATAGCCACCTATATAAAAAGGAAGAGCTGAAATCATTTTCGCAGCCAAAATAAAATTATTCCTAAAAAGGTTCTCTCTACCTATATGACCTCATTTCTCAGAGATACATAAAATGAGGGTTTATCTGCCATATTTTGGTATAAATACATAATAATTTAAGGACAACATCTGGTACTATTTACCAACAGACTTAAAAATGTCCACATTCTTTGTTACTATAACCATTCTCACAAGAATCCTATATAATCCTATATAATAAAAGCCTAATATGCTAAGTGTCCGGTAGTCCATTCAACCAAAGTGGAATATGCTAATGATATGATAAGGCCACTCAACTGCTTGCTATGATGTGAACTGACCACCAGGGAGCAGAGTGTCAACTAGTCAACCAGTCGCTATGACGTGCAGTGACCAACAGGGGACAGATGCTCTGACCAGTAGGTTAGCTTGCTGCTGGGGTCTGGCTGATTGGAACTGAGTGAGATGGGTTGGACATGCCCTGGAGCCCTCCCGCACCCCCTCCCCAGCTGGCCAACCTCCCATGTCCCTCCCTGGCCCCAATCATACACCAGTGGGACCGCTCGGCCCAGCCTGCACCCTCTCGCAGTCTGGGACCCCTCGGGGCATGTTGAAGAGCTGGTTTAGGCCTGACGGCAGAACAACCAGTCACTATGACGACACTGACCACCAGGGAGCAGATGCTCAATGCAGGAGCTGCCCCCTAGTGGTCAGTGCGCTCCCACAAGGGGAGTTCTGCTCAGCCACAAGCCAGGCTGATGGCTGCCAGGTTTACAGCTGTCGAGCGTAGTGGCAGTGGTGGGAGCCTCTCCTGCCTCCATGGCATTGCTAATGATGTCTGAGGGTTCCCGGTCTGAGAGAGGATGCAGGCCATGCTGAGGGACACCCTCCCTTCCCCCAGTGCATAAATTTCATGCACCAGGCCTCTAGTCTAATGATAATAGTTAACATTCTTAGGCACTTTCCTAAGAATTTCATATGAATTACCTCAATGAGCAGATACTATCATTTGGCCCATTTCACAGATAAAGAAACTAAGACTCAAGAAATTAAGCCCAAGGTCACAAAGCTAGTTGCGAGAGAAAACCAGAATTTCAACCTCTCCGTTCAGGCTCCAGAGCCTGTGCTTGTAATATCTAAACTATGTTTCTCCAGATTACCTAAACAAAAAATTTGTACCCAAAGATTTTCTTCAGTCTCATTTATAATAGTAAAAACTGGCACACGTAAAAAAAACCCAACTCCAAAATAAAAGAAATAATCAAGTAAATACTGGTATATTTAAAAATGATACAACCCTAGCCTAATAGGCTCAGTGGATAAAGCATCAGCCTATGAACCAAAGGGTCTCCGGTTCAATTCCGTTCAAGGGCACATACCTCGGTTGCTGGTTTCTCCCTGGCCTGGACCCTCGTAGGGGCTCGTGCAGGAGGCAAACCAATCGATGTGTTTCTCTCACATCGATATTTCTCTCTATCTTTCCCTCTTTCTCCCACTCTCTCTAAAAATCAATGGAAAAAATATCCTCAGGTGAGGATTAAAAAAAAAAGGAAAAACACTACACAAAGATAAATAATGAAT